GTGTTACATACAAATTAAAAACAAAAAATCCAAATGAGTTACTTTATGATGTGCTCTATTAGTAGTAAGCCTATGGCAATTTCGTCAGAAAATATTGGTTTTCTCTTAAATAGTTGCGTTTAAGTAAAAGCAATTTTATAGAGGTGAAGGCGGACACCATAGCTATGCAGTATAAAAGGAAAATGGGTAATAATTTTAAGAACTACAATGAATAAAACATCGCTGGGACACTTGAAGATATTCGACAAGGCAGAAAAAGCTTTAGTCAAGCAGCTGAAAATTATAAAATTTCAAAATTCACCTTACACAGTATTAAAAATGAATGAAAACGATGAAAAGTGACGGACATTGGCTAATTTGATAAAAAAAATAAAAACTTAATCAGAACAAGAATACGCCCCTTACTTGATCCTAAGACCATTCTTAACGCTTAATAAATGGGCGTCCGCCTTTACTCCACACCCAGGAATGAAGGGAAACACCCTTTACATAAACAAATTTGGAAGAAATGAAAACTTCATTTGTTTTATAATGGAATTCGACAAATAAGACACGGAAGACTCTAAATTATTTTATTCAAAACTCTATTTCTAAAATACCAGTTTTTAAAAACTGAAAAAATCGACCGACGTCACCCCGAACAACGGTATCAATAAAAAAAATATATTCCAACTACTCGGCACCACGATAAGATTTATATCGAACTAGTATATCCAATATTAACACCATTTGTCAATTAGTTAGCAAATTTGAACTAAGTGGTGGAGTTCAAAACTTTGCCAAGATCCGGTTATGTACAAACTGTTCGTACTCCTCAAAATGATGAGGAGGTTTGAAAACTGTAGTGGATCGGTTTGAAATATCTATCAGACGTTGCTCCAAAAACTTTCATTTACGGCCATGTGAAAATTCGGTTTTCCTATGGCTTGTAACTTAAACTTGAAAAGTAATCAACAATACATTTAATGATTGATCAGAAGTGTTGTTTGTTGAACCTGTAGGTATTTTCCAAATTTGAGACTCGATTAATTATATTTAAATATTCTTTTCATATCATTGGTGTATGGAGCATTTGAGCATCATTTAGGTGTGTTGTATGTAACCTTTGTCATGTGCCCGATGTCCGGCTTTTCTTTTGACGCAGTTTTAGTTCTTGTTACCGATGGTTATGTGTTGTAAATAACCGATACGCTTCGAATATTGAATACATTTATAGTAGACACCAAGCGACTCTTCATTCATCCAAAATGTTCATTATATTTTCATTCCTTAACAAAAATATCTTGATTGAGCATTAATTCAGGAAATAAATTAATGTGGAATTTCAGCCTTAATAAACACTTTGCCCAACTGGTCGAAAATAACACATCCAAAATTGGAGTGGCAGGTCGTGCATTACAAATGTAGCACCTGTCTCATGATGGAATGTGAACGTGACTTCACGTTCTCAAGATTTTCCACCATTTATTTTATTTTCACTTGATTTGATGTCATGCTATCTAACACATCCACTTCTACTTATAGTCCAGGAAAGTAACAGGTAAATGTAATTTAATATAAAATAAATTAATGAAAAAATCAAACGTGGGCACTGATTTTATCAAGTGCTGTTCTATATTTTATCAACAACTGTTACATAATGACTATAATTTGGCATTCTTGCAAATGCCATAATTATGAATATTACCGCACTACTACTTTATTAAATTTATTACCGCATTAGTGCTGTCGATCACTCTCAAAGTTGTGTCTCAAAATTGCACATTTTAAAATAAGTTCAAGCGATGGTCTGCCATCTGATATTGAGAATTAAGCTTTTAATGTTGTTTCAGATAAATCACAGAGGAAATAAGAAGCTTTGATCGGTACCAGAACTGGTGCAGTGAAACCAAAGGTAAACCCACAAAGAATATAGAGATCCAAAATGATTAGGGTTTATGTATTTTGCTTACTTTGTTAAAATATGCTACGAATCATTTCTCTCTTGTTAACTTGATTATCTTTCGTTCACTGCGCCATTCCTTCAGCCCACAGCCTCATCGTGCAAATCTTCACATGCGTGCGTTAATAATATTCATATCCTACTGATTACATAAATAACTAGCAAATCACAAAGGACTGAGATCAAACATAACAAATAACCTTGTAATACCTAAAGCACAGTTGTGACATTGGGAAATAAATATTTTAGCGACATTGATGTAGTATCAACGTTTTAATTTTTGTGCGTCAATTTAATACCGAAACCTTTCAATTATAAACCGTTTGCTCCAACAAAATACTTTTCTAATAACCCCCCACTGACTGGCATTAGTCTTAATTTGAATTTTAATGTATTTTACACGTTAGCTTTCGGATTTTATGAAAACGAAGCCATTGTCGTTGGGATAAATGAATTGACTGTCGTGAAAACCGTGCCCACCCACGCTCAAAAATTAAATATTTCTAATACAAAATTGCGTAGGATGACATCTGAGACGAACAGTGTATAGGGACAGCATTTATATATAGGAAGCCTTTATTCTTCATCCAATAAGATATAGGGTTTGTCAAGATAGAGTAGCAGAAGTTGACAAATTAACAAAAGTTTAAGATGGTTAAGTCAACGATGGTTAAGTAGTGGATGGAAGGAACGAACGGAGAACCTGAGAGTGGCAAGTCAAAATAGTCTTCTCTATTTAAACGAAAGCTTTTCCTATTTGAGTACTTTTTTAATTTTTAAAAACAAAAGTATTAAATCAGATTTATTATACCGGTTGAATAAATTAAATAATTATCTTCTGCTCCTCTGTAAATTATTTGTATACACATTTAGTTCCGTTCTAATCGTAAGGCATTGAATCTCAGAGGCACATTTCCTTAGTCATTTACTTTGAAGTAAAAACCTCACTATTAGTAAGGAATTATTTTCCGTTAATATATCGTTTAAACAAAGTAATATTCAGTAAAATTACTGAATTCTCCTGGTTGGCTGCATCCCAAGGCGCATAAAATCAAGCGAACAAGACAAATTACGTCCAATAATCGATAACTGGTTCATGCCGATTACCTTCATAAGTACAAATAATCGACTTATATTGCCAACAGAAATAGCCTGATAGCTATGTGATTTTAGCTCCCATTCGCTACAAATTAATCAATCCGAGAAGCATAAAACACAATTGATTAATTGGATGATAGGTGCTTAATAACACATTATGTACCTATTATTCAGGTGTGTCGTGAATTGAAAGCTAGCAATAACCAAGAGGGCATTACCAACTTTATAGTCGAATAATATTGTTGCAACCTTAAAAGGCTACCCATTGTGGCAAGTCGAAATCCATATCCATAACATAAAGTGTAGGTACGTTCTGTACTGGAATTTTGATCATATATTTTCTGTGGTTAACTGAAATCTTCTTACGCTGATTACATTTTTTAAATTAAATTATTAATCAAGTTATTAACAACGTACACATCTGGAGACGAAAAATGCTACACATACCAAATGAAGAATCTCTCGGTAAACATATGGACAGAGATAATTTTTCCAAGCGCCATATACACATTTTCAAAAATAATTCTGGCTTGAGGCAATTATTTACTAATATAAACGGCATATGCAGGTTCTCTTTTTAAATAAATGTTCATTTGCTATGACTCTGTTTGTTTGAACTACAGGAGAATAAGTTTAAAACCAATAGTCCATCACTCCTTATACATATATAAAATGTATGAATCTAAAACAATGTTTCCTGTTCGTTATATTTAAGTCATCCTGTATATTATACAAATGTATTGTGTTAACGTCTGGCGATAGTGGTTTATACCTAAGCGGCTTTGATAAATGGTTATAATCGAGTAATGAGTTTTAAAGTTTTTCAATTAATTTCCCAAGACAGTTCCGTCGGATGCTGTTATTGATGGTGGATAATTATTTTAATAATATAAAACCATTGCTCCAATTTCATTCGAATCATTCTTACAATCAAATGGCAGTTGAACAAGAATCGATAAGCAATTAAATGGGTTTGAGAGATTCTGCAAGTTAGATTACAAAAGTCCTACCAATTATTGAAAAAGCTGTAAAACGGAGGTTGAAGTCAAAATACTTAATTAATCGATTGTCCAGTCATTCCCAGTTCATCTTTAATAGCCAGTTTTTATTGGCTATAAAACGGCCGAATAGTAGTCCGAATTAAACTCACAAAAAACATTGAGGAGAAAACTCTGGAAAGTAAACCAAACACCACCAACAATTTCACAAATCAGAAAAAAAATTTTGCAGGAAAATAAATTTGGGTATAAGCTATGCCTAGAACTGGAAAAGTGTGTGTTTAATTTATACATGAAATATATGTGTCCGTTTGCACACATTTTTCTAATCCTTCAAAGTTGTGGAAGCATAATCTATTCAAAGCCAGACGCAGTTTTCCAGCAAAAGGACACTTCTGTAGAGTTACATGTAGTTCAAATATATCGAGCAAATATCTAGACCATTCTCCAAACTTTGGCACTCATATTTCATTCGAATACCTACATATTTTTAGCAAGAATAAAATTTTAGTGGACCGTTTAAACATTGAAGCTGTGTTTTATGAAACATGTATGCGCCCTAAAGGATAGATTAACAAAATTTTAGTTGAATATTAACACGCATTCCTCAAATTCATATTTTATAAATGCACTTAAAATTAATCCGCTGTAATAGATTGGACCTACTGATATAGAACTTTAAATAAGAATTGAGGGTAAAATCAAAATCCTTAAGAACAAGCTCGAATAATTAGTTTTCTTGCTTTGGAAAACATAATATTCCATTTTTAAGTGAGTGTTTTCGGAGCGGTTTTTTTTTGTAATTAGTAACGAGGTAGTTTAGTATCGATGTTTTAAATCCCAGCTAGAAAAAAATTCTGGATATGAAGGGATTCAAAGGAAAATTTATAAAACAGTTATAAAATGCTACCAAGCTTACTGATGTTTTTTCTGCTTTTAACGATGAACTCTGTTTATTCCAGACTAGCGCTGCATCATGACTGCATCAAAGTGAATGAAAATCACAAGCAAAATAGTGAAAAGTCGAATCAGGTCATAGGCAGCGATTAACACAATGAGTAAGTAGATATTTGAAAAAATTTTATTTTTTTTCTTAAAATTCCTCTTAAAGTTTAATGTATATTTATTAAAGAAAATGGATATTCTGGAGAAAAGTCAAACTGAATTAGGGCAGTTGAATATGTAAGCATATTTCAACTTTGTTTATATTAATGCTTCAAATGGATTAGGAACGTTATTTAAAACATCTTAATTGAAAAGGCTGCGAAATGTAATTAAAACGACTTAACAGAAAAGTTAGCACCTAGCGAAGGAAACTCCATTGTCTTGTGGTTATGCTGGAATTAAGCTATACTTTTACAACACAACTTTCCGCTTTCGTTGTTTATTGCCGAAAATTTCAATTTTAATTTAGTTTCGTTTGCCTTTTCTCGTTATCGCCAAACAAGTATTCTTTGCGAACAAAAATTTTACAAAATTGATAATATTATTTTATTTGTAGCAGTTATTATATATTTTCATAACAGGTTCATAAATTAAAATGTACGCGACTAACGCACTTAGTACAGTTTATTTAACGTTTGAGAACTAAACTAGCTGTCCTTTTATTTTCTATTTTCTTCAGAAAATTAGATTTTGTGAGTAGATGTTTCGAATGTGGTTGTGTGAAAAGTAACACCTCTTGTATTTATGCTTTCTTAAATAAAGTAACGATTGTTGAGCAACTAGGAGACATTGATTTTAAGGTGGTCGAAAATTTTCTTCAACCGGGACACAAGTCTCTTGGACTAATGGAAACCGAAATAGAAACTCATTCCTATATTTCGGTTTACAAAAACATTTCAAAAAGATAGCAAATGAACTAACTAACTTGATTTTTTAAACTAAATAATATTAATGCAAGATCAAGGTATATTTTGAGTAAAGTGAAAAAACTGTTTCATATTCACTAGCATTTTAGAAAAATCTGAAAATCTGTTGAAAATGTATAAACAGAATACGACACGCATTCTGTGAATATTAATACACTATCTGTGAAAAATTTGAGTTCCTATAACTGATCTAAATATACTGTAAATGTATGTATATTAGTTTTTGAAACTGTGATCTTGTTTATTCATATTAACGTTAAATCAGTATTTTGAAATTTTTGTTGTTTCTTGAAGTGCCGTGTCAAAGTTTAATTTCTGGTGAAAGAAATGTTTCGCGAAATCGCGAAGCGACGGTGCGTCAATTAGCAGGAATAAATCGGAATGGCCTGCCTTCGACATTTAACAATAGTGGAGTTCCACTTGCTGCGTTTTTTGCGTACCTAATGATTTCGAGATGTGACTTGAAAAATATCCACGCATAATCAATTTTGCTTCGAGTTTCCTAAACCAATCGTATAAAATGTAGTTGGTGAAAATGCGACGTAATCTGAATAAAACCGAATTCCTTGTTTAACTTTGTAAACTGATTCACTAGTAACTCCCGAATCGCCGCAGCTCTGATTCCACCTTTTTATTGTTTCCAACTACGTGCTTCGAGGACTCAATTTGCTGATTCCCGACCTTGATTTTCGGGTACTTGAACCCCACTTATTTTCATCACACTATTTATTGCGATTTAATCAAGCCAACTGCAAATACGCACATTCAGTAATGCACTAATTGACACAATTTAGAGAACAAATTCTGAATGAATCTCTGAATATAATGTTATTTAATATCCAGTGGAATTATTTAGTTGGATGCATTGATAATCCCAGTTTAGGAAATTGTGCAATTTAGTGACCAGTAAACGTACGCAAAGGCTAATTTATAAAAGCAAATCATTTATGCAATAATGCTTACATTAGTCACAGATAAATTTGCGTATGGCAAACACGTGTCGAAGTAATTAAAAACTATGCTTGTTGTACGAGGGTGCGTTTGTGTGACTGTAATAGAGCAAATGCAATAATTTTGCTGTTCAACAAAATGCCATTTAAAGGTCCAAATATCTCGATATAGATCAGGATATAAATGACATTGTGAAAAACGGGTTAAATAGGATAAAAAAATATGAAAACGCAATGCGATCTGAATCCTGAATAATCAGGGTTGCAAAATTTAACTAGGACGATTAGTTTAACAATACATGGGGTAATTAGATCAACTTCCAATTACATACAATTTTCTAAAGATATTGATGATTCTGTGTGTACCTGAAATACGTTTGATCGAAACAAACAGAAATTATTTTATATTTCAGCCATAGCTTCAGTCACTTTCAGCACGTTTGAATAGCAAATAGTAATGGTAATATTTTAGGTAATAATCTTATGCAGCAGGTAGAGCAATTTAAATAAACAGGTTATTTATACTAGCAAAAACGTTCGTCGCATAAAATTTCATTTGAGATTTAATTAGAAATCTTGCATTTTGCCTCAGTAAAGTATTATTTACTGCAGTGTGATAATTAATGGAATATAAAACAATGATCGCTTTTCCAAGTTGGCAATTGCGATAAGCGTTATCCCTATTTAAAGATATTTTCTCTAAGATGGAACAATTTAAACTAAATTTACTGAATGAGCAAGAACAAATTAACAATTCAGTTAGATTTTGCCAAGACAGTTATACTGGTTATTCCCAAAATAAAGGGCAAACATGATACAGTATAATCAAGTGAACCAAGTGAAGGGCCTGGAAGTAATTTTCCAAGATGGTACATTTCGACGAGAAGAAATATGTCGAGGATAAATGCACGATTTGGTTTGCTTAAACTAAATGGTTGTCCTCTTAAAACGCTTAATTATTTAAATCAAACATTTATCAAAAATCTTAAATTCAACATTAAATTTTTAATTCCTCGTGGTAAATACGGCGCCTAGTAGTTACATATTCGTTGATTATTAATTGATGTTTTTTAAAATTTTCTGGCAACATGGATTTTCCGATGGCGCTCTTTGAATCACCTATTTCTCAATTAAGTATTTGTTTCTGTACTGAGCTGAAGAAATTCGCTATCTTCTTCATTTGAGTCTTCGGAGCAATATGGAAAAAGTCTGACCGAGAAAGATCCCAAGTGTACCAAACTTTCCGAAATTTAGCACACATTCTTTTTTTTTACTCAGTTTTCCACACACACATTTTTCGTTTTTCGTTTACTCAGTTTTCCACTGTTTTTTTGGATGCTGTGTAAAGTTGTTTTTAACCAGAACTGTTTTAAGTGAATGTTGCGTAAAAGTAATTATTTGCCGATTTTTAAAGAGAAGTAATTTTAACAAATTATAAACATCTACTTTCAACTTTAAACTTTTTTAGTTGAGCCAACACTACTCTTCCTTGCTCAGTGATTTAGATATATTTTTTGGTATGATTTTTTTTATTGACATTAGTTCTGTATTTTTCTAGATGCAAGTATATAAAATATGTACCTTGCGCAGTCATATTTGCATTAGACAGTAATTCTTCTTAATTTGTTGATACTTTAAAATAAATATCTCAAAAGATGCAGTTATAAAACTATTGAATCTGCAACATTCCGTATACCAGAAATACAACACTCACAAGTTTTGTGCATGCCACAGATGCATTAAACTGACCCAAATATATTTCAAATATAGGCCAGACCGCTCAATGTCGCTTAGCTGTCCCGAACTATTATCCACTAAATTTTCATTAATTCCTTTCAAGCTCATTCATTCTTGCTAATTTGATTTATTCGAATTAATTGCGTCCCTTACCTAGAGAACAATAGTTGCTTCCATCAAGTTCAACCTTCTTCATATAAATCGATTAGTCGACTTAATTGGAAAATAATGGAGTTTCGGGTCAAGGCAAAAAACGCACTGATCTATATGGAATATCTCCGTCAAAATTTTAGCGGTTTCTTGTCCTAATTGCTAGAGGAATGGATGGGAAGTTACTAAGGGTAAATGTCCAAGTTTGGATGTAATTTATTGCGTCTGGAGGGTGTAACAAATTGTCCTGTTATTTGTTAATGGTAATGTTCGTTCGCCCACAGTCGAAAGCTGGAGGAGGAGGAGGTTCAATTGTTTCGACCAGTTAAACGTCCAGATTAGTTTGCAACAACTTTTCTTCAAATTCCATCGACATTCATTTGTCACCTGCCGTAATTTTTCCGAGTTTAGGTCAACAAATCCTAATTTGATTTTCAATTTTATACTCGATGAACAGACAGGGAATAGGCAATTTTCCGTATCGTGGTTTCGTTTTGAGGAAAATTTCATTACCATATTTCCGGTAGACAAAAATTGAATCCAGGAAAAAGCTCAACGTACATGCATTGTGTTTTTTTTCTGCAGAAACATTAGTTTGATAACTTTCTTAATCACTTATTTTTTGTTGATGCTCAATTTAAACCTCAAAATCCAAAAAAATATTATATTTGTTTTTATGGAATATTACTGGAATATGTTATTGATATTCTTTTTGGAATATTGCCGAAGTAATTAACCATTTGCATCTTAATGATTTTGGTAATTAAACACATTTTCTTGGTGCCCTAGAGATGTTCGAAAACTATTTACGTTCGAAAGAATATTTCGAGCTTAAACTATACCAGCTTAAAAGAAGAGCGCCTCGAAATATATGGAGTACCGTAAAATGACGAACCCAATATCCAGTTCACCGATTCACTTATTGCGGAACACGGAATAAAATCTCCTTTTGTATTTAAGCAAACAATGACTTTTGCGTTTCGGAAAATTGAACATTAAGCCACTATTGACTTGCATTGATGAAATGGGCTCGACAATGAATCAATTTCTTACTCAGATAGAATTTTATTTACTTCTCATGTGGATTTTTCAGTGATACAAAAAAGCTCGAAGTTTAACCGAATATAGATAAATATAAAATTTTGAACAAGAAGACTAGACAACAATATTTTTCAACACATCGGCATGGCTGTACGGTGTGAGCAGTCTTACTTTCACTCGTTAAGTTGTGGTTTAGCTATCTGCTAAATCTCGATGATACATACATGGATCTATAACGAGGGTCTGTTTATATTTCAATGCTTGAACAACCTTCGTAAAGCTAGGTAGCCTCGCGTTCGAGAAATAAAT